AGTGAGGTAATCCAGACCCAAAAAGATGAACAAGGGATATACTCACTCATAATTGGGTTCTTGCCTGCTTTTTCTTATCCCTTGTTTCCCTCGTCCCAGCTCCTAGTCACTACCATACTACTCAGCTTCTAGAAGATCAACTTTTTTACATCCCATATGTGGCTGAGATTGTGTAGTATTTATGTTTCTGTGCTTGTCTCACTGAATTCTATTCAGATTGCTGCAGATAAGATTTTATCCCTTTTAGTGGCTGAAAAGTATTCATGTCTCTCTGACTGTGTGTATCTGTCACTGTGTGTGTTTATGTGCATGTGTTTTGGTGTGCATTTCTCTGTGTCCGTGTGTGTGTACACTTTATATACTCTAAGCATCTTTCAGACTGATTAACTTGATCTCTTGACCGTTGGGAAGAGTGCTGCTGTAAACACAGGAATGCAGATCTCTTCCCGTGCTGGAGGAGAGTCTCCTTTTTTGTGATATCATATTGTTTGGATATGTGCCTAGTGGTGGGATTGCTGGATGACTCGGTGGCTTTATTCTTAATTTTGGGGAGGAATACTCCTCCTTCTTTCTACACTGGCTATACTAATTACCCTCATCCCAACAGTGTGCAGATATGCCCTTTCCCCTGCATCTGCACCTTTTTCACTGTCCCCTTTTGTCTTTCTGAGCATAGTCTCTGTAATGAACCCAATGCTTGGGTTTTGGGTTTTGTAACCTTGTATTTACCACCAACCCCATCCTGTGTCTTTAAAGTTGGGTTCTGATGTTGTCACCTCTGGAATTCCAATTAGTGTCTTTTTTCTCGCTCCATCATCGTTAGTTTGCGGAGCACGTGGAACACAATTATAATAGAGCTTAGTGTGTTTCTCTGCTGAGTCTAGCAACTGACCCCAGGTCATATTTTATGAGTTAATTTTTTCATTTTGAATTCTGTTTTTATCACTTACATATCTGGTAAGATTTGATTGTATTCTTGACAGTAAATTTTACCTTTTAATGCGCTAGGTATCTTAATATTCCTACAAATATTCTAGATCTTAGGCCAATCATATGGTTATTTTAAAATGCTTTGGGGGTTACTTTGAACTTAGTTGTAAAATATGTTAGGTAGGACCAGAATGATGCTTAGTCCACACTTAGTTGCCTTATACTATGGAAGAAAGATCTTTCTGACACTACACTGCCCCATTGGTCTGTCTGGAGGGGGCAACCATTAGTCTTATCCCCATGAAATCTTTGAGTAACAACAGTTCTTCCATCTTTTCTGGTGTCTGTTATTCATGTGCACACACTAGTCAGTGCTCAGTTTGAGAAACAAAGACCACAGAAAAATGGAAAGATTTCTATAGTGAAAAGAGCCCTACATTTCCACCATGTAGCCTTTGTGATTAGTGTTTTGCATTTTGGGGACTGGAGGTGTAGCTTAGTGAGAAAACCCATGCTGAGCATGCACATAACCCCAAGTTCAACCTCTAGAACCCCCAAATAAGTCATCAAATAAGTAAATAAATACCATCAATATGACCCTGATTTAAAAAGCATTAAATTCCTTTGAAGTGTCCTGACCACATTTCTGCCTGGATTGATTGGCACAAACACCGTCTTAACCTCTTGGCCGCCATAATCATGGCTGAAGGAAGCTGAGGTGCGCCGAGTGGATTTCTATGGCGGCTATCAGCGCTTCCAAATGTCATAGGAATTGCTTTACTCAGCAGTGTCTGGCTTTAGTCTACACATTAGTCCTGTCTGCAAACCAGTGCCTGGTAGGACAACCACAGCACCAAAACCCCCAATGTATTGTGACACTGAAGGCTTTGGCAGCCTTTCTTCGTGGAAAAGAGAGACATAAGGGCACAGGTAGTATTTTCTACAATCTCTGCTATTCTGAAGCCATTGATCCTAAGTGACAGCAGGAACATTTTAACTGCTCTCAGGAGCCTGTGTGGCACAGGAACTGGGCCTGGGCCTGGAGCTGGTAAGCAGTGCTGTACAGGGTATCCAGAGGCGACTGTGCCTACTTTGTCCTCAGGCTCCCTCTCCATTGTTGTTTGACTTCCCTGGGTCCTCAGTTCCATTCGGATCTCTCTCTCTTCCTCTCTCTCCCCCACTCTCCTGTTTCTCACACATGCACACACAAAAATGTACCACACAAGAATGTACAAGCACATAGCATACCTGTGCAGGCATACTGTGGTGGTTTGGATAAGAAAGGCTCCCATAGGCTTATATATGAGTGCTTAGTCATCAGGGAGTGGTACCACTTAAGAAATTACAAGGTGTGACTTTGGTAGAGGAAGTGTGTCACTGGGAGTGGACTTTGAGGTTGCAAAAGCCCAAACCAGGCCCAGTATGTCTCTCTCCCCACTGCCTGTGGATCCAGATGTAGAACTCTCAGCTACTTCTTTAACACCATGTCTACTTGCATGCTGCATGCTCCCTGCCATGATAATAATGGACTAAGTCTCTGAAACTGTAAGCAAGCCCCAGTTAAATGCTTTCTTTGATAAAAGTTGCTGTGGTAATGGTGTCTCTTCACAGCAACACAGTAATGACTAGGAGACATAAGTAGATATAAGTAGATTCACACTATACAGTGTACATACATAAGCATACATAACTCAGCACACATAACCTCTGAATGCATACAAACTACATGTGTGAATGTGGGGGATAGTCACATGCAACCATGTATGAGTATATTCATGTACAAATGTACCACAGAAACATGGTAGAGGTGCTCCTCTGGCTCTCCCTGTTTCAGGTGTAGATGCAGAAACACCCCTTTCATCATGTTTGTTCTGTGTTCAGATAATCCACCCAGCACACTCACTAGAAGTAACTTGGTATAGATGTGCTACCTTTCAGGGTGAGCGTGCTGCTGGCACTAAGCATTGAAACGAAGCCTCAGGATGGCACGGAGCTTTGTGGTTAAGCCTATGAACACAAGTGACAAGGAAAGGAGCTGGGAAGAAGGCCCTGGGAGTACCCAGGATGCCCAGTTAGGGTTTACAAGAGTCACAAGATAGAGGAGGAAAGAAGAGGGATTAGCTTAACTGATGGAAGCTGTGGCTAAAGAATGCAGAAATAAGTGACATCAGAAAGCCTCCCCATGAGAAGCAGTGAATGGCGAGGGCCTGCCGTGAGAACATCAGATGCTTCAAAGCATTGAACTGTATTCACTCTATGCAATATTTCTCATGGTTCAGATCAGGAGTTTTAGGAAAAATAAAAGATGGATAGAATTTGAATTGGCTCCATAGATGGTTGGTTTCGTTTCCTGAATCATAAATTGAGCTGATTTTCTATTAAAAAAGATATACCCTACACTTTTAAATAATGTATTTGTCTTTATTTATGATAAATAGGAGAGAGCGTACCTTGTGTGCCATGCATTGACTAAATGTGGACCCTGACGTCCTTTTTGAGTGGTTATTTTTAATCATTGTTATAGAAAATTCCTGATGAAAGCAACTTAAAGAAGAAAGGGGTTATTCTACCTCACAGTCTGGGGGTGTGGTAGTGAGGGCAGCTGTCACAGCGGCCCCAGGAGGGGGAGGCTGGTGACTCACTGCACCTGCACTCAGGAAGAAGAGAGAGATGAATGTTGCATTCAGCTCATTTTCTCCTTCTGAACTTTTCTACCTGTAGTCTGGAGGCCCGGCATGCTGCCACCAGCACTTGAAGTAAGGCTCTCTGAGAACTCTCAACAGCCTGGGGTCTTAAATGTAGCTTAGGCCTCACTTTCACAGCCTCATGCAATGGTCTCTTTAGGCCCGATTGCAGGCTTGAGCCTTGCCATGCGATACTGGTCCCAGCAGCTTTCTGGAACCTTGGGGCAGCCTCCATGAGCCCGGAACACTTTGTATGCCTGAAAAAGTAGCTGCATGTGGATGACCTGGTGAAGTTCTGATGCCAGTTTTACCACAGCTGTAAGGACTTGGTGTGTGTTGGTGGCTGAGCTCAGGGCCGTCATTCCAGAGGTGGTTGTTTTTAACTTCATAACCTTTTTTTGATATTCTGAGGTCAGAGTCTTTTCATTCAGAGGAAATAGAATTTTCATAAGCTGGAGTCTTCACTGGGTGGAGTCTTGTCCCAATAGAAGCTTTGTTTCTCTTAGATGACATTAATCAGGTCAATTAATCACTTCTCCATGTTTGCTTCATCCTAAAACTCACACTCCTTTTCTTTCCTTGCCGAACATGTTTTATCTTTCTGTCCTCCTACACCCCAGAGCTGAGCAGCACCCATGCTGCATCTGAATGTCATGCCCTCTTGAAGTTTCCTCTACCAAACAGAGAGTCCATTATTTTTTAATTCAGCCTCACTTTAGTTCTTGGGACACATGCAGAAGTCAGCCAGACTTTTGCCAGGTTGTAAAAGGAATGGTTTCTAGTCCAACTCCCAATAGAGTCTTTGTTCTCTGCTAAAATATCCTGAGCCAGGATCCCACTGTGCGCATGTCTCTTGGCATTCTGTCTCCTACAGCACTATTATAACAGGCCATTACGCTTTCCATGTACAACAGCATTTCCCTCTTCCTCTTGCAAGCTAGTACAAAAATACCTTCCTGTGAAATGGTTTATCACAGCAACATCCCTACTCCCTCCCTGGTCTGTATTAGTTACTCTTCTTGTTGCTGTGGCAAAAGACATGACAAAGGGTACACCCCATCATGGCAGGGAAGGCACGACAAGGAACATGACAGGCTAATCACATTGTGATGGCTAGTCACACTGTGCCCCCAGTCTGGAAACAGAGGAGGGGGTGTGTGCTTGGCTTGTTCTATCATTTCCCCTCTTTTTATTTAGCTCAGGACTCCTGTCTATGGATGGTCCTTCTCAGTTAAACCTCCCTGGAAATACCTTGTAGACACGCCCATCCCAAGGTTCCTCTCTTAGGTAATGCAGTCCAGTTGACGATGAAGAGCAAGCATTGCGCCCTCCTGCCCCAACAGCTATAAACCAAAAGCAGTGTCGAGTGTCTTCATAGTTGCGGTTGTGTTTGCTGCAGCAGTGCATATTCTAAAGACTGGAATGACATGGAGAAGGTTAGCATGGCCCCTCCGCAAGGATGACATGGAAATTCGTGAAGCGTTCCATATTTTTCTATGAGGCATCTGGCAGTCGGACCAGAATCTATCCCTGGTGGATGAGCTAACTTATTGGAGCTCATTCCTTATGGTGGGGTGCCATGCTTCTTAGCCTTAATGCAGGGGAGAGGGTCTTGGTCCTACCCCAACTTAATATGCTGGACTTTGTTGACTTCCCATGGTAGCCTTTACCCATTGGGAGGAGTTGATAGGGGACGAACTGGGAGGGAGGTGGGAGGGGTATGGGAGGAGCTGGGAGAACTGTGGATAGAATGTAAAATTAAAAGGAAAAGAATAGTTGCATCTGCATTCTTGACTTAATGTGGGGATGGTGGGAGCTGGCTGTCTGAAAACAGCAGCAGCTTCGAGGGACAGTGATGTGCTGTGGAAGGAATTGCATGATAGAGCTAGGACTTTACCAGGCATTGCTTCTACAGTCACTGATTGTTTACTGAGTTCTTTTTTTTTTTTTTTTTTTTTGTGGAAAGTTCCTTTATTCCTGGAGATCTATCTAGTCTTTGAGAATTCTTTTTTTTTTTATTGAGAAAGGGAGAAAAAAAAAAACAAGTTTCCACCTCCTCCCAGCCTCCCATTTCCCTCCCCCTCCTCCCACCCTTCTCCCCCTCCTCCCACCCTTCTCCCCCTCCCCCTACTCCTTTCCCCCTCCCTCTCCAGTCCAAGGAGCCATCAGTTCTTGAACGTGTCAATCAGATTCCCCGGTTGCAGGTTCATTAAGATTTAAGTGGAAAAAGAGTTGACTGCATTCTGATAATCTCCTGGATTGGGCAGCCCCAGTCTTAGTAAACACGGCAGAGCAGGGGTCACCATCCCCAAGAATGGCAGGCAGCACACCCTGCTGCTAAAACTCAAGCATTTTACAACGCCGTTCATGTCAGAGAGAATTGCTCACTCTTCTGCTAAGATCCCAAGGTTCTTTCACTGGGAGAGGGAAGGGGCGAGAGGGGACGGTGTGGATGAAGATGATGGAAAAGTATCATATACATGTATGAAACAAAGAATTTTTATAGAATAAGAAGAAATTAAAACAAAAGGGAAATGCATTAGTAGGCTGGCGTTGTTCTTCGCTATCCCTTTCAACATAATTTAGTGGTTTCCGATGTTCTTTTCTGACTTCTCAAGTAGATTTGCAAACAAAGATCCCATTCCACAAAGAACCCCCAGAGGTCCTAAGAGTAGCACTGGGCTGGTGAGATGGTGTGGTGCGTACAGACGCTTGTCATCAAGTCTGATGACCCAAATTTGGTCAACCCGACCCATATGGTAGGTAGAGAGAACTGCTCCTGAAAGGTGGCCTGAGGACCATGCAGTAGGCATGCTGTCAAGTGTGAGCCCACACACAGGCCGCTAGATAAATAATGTAAACAGGTGAACAATATAAAACACAAACAATGGAAATAATAATGGCTAGTAGAACACACCCACCATCTAGGGCATGGTCTCAAGACCTTCATCTGTTTATATAAAAAGTGGGGGTTTTCTAATTTTCAAAGGGGTTCAGCAGCTGGACAGCCCAAAGAAACATCTACTCTAGGCTGCGCCATGGTGATCCATAGAGGAAGTGTTCTCTCTTCCAAGAACTTCCAATCCTGTAAGAAAGAGAAGCATGTTTTCTATCCCAACAAACTTCTGAAATTATAGTTTATTGAGACCACACCATATCTGTATCCATGGTCGGCACTTTGTGCATGTGTTTCATGTCCGTGCACAGAGATATAGAACCTTGCAGTTTCTTCATTGGAAAGCTGAAACGGTCCCCATGAGCAATTGAAAGTTCACATTATTTAGAAGGGTCAGACTGTTGGCTCTGGTAATGGATGAATCACAAGTCTCCCACCACCCGAATCTAATTTCTCCGAACTTGGAATACACAGCTTTATGCTGATGGGGAATGGTGTGAGGGGACTCCATTTGCTACTTGGAAAGTAGAGTATCATGCTGAGCAAACTGCACATCTCTGACAGTCATGGTGAGCCCCATACTAGTTAGTATGACAGAATGAGTCAGAGTAAGTGGATTTGCTGTATTTCCTAAATCATGTGAATAATATAAAATATTGCCATCGGTAGAGTGTTAAGTGGCTTCATTCTTATACCAAAGCAATTTCTATTATCTGGAAAAGAAGAGACAAAGTGAGAAAGAACAGAACCTTAGGTTTTTCAGAAGTCTTCCCGGCATTCAAGGTCAACCTCCGTAAAATGTCGGTCAAACTCAGCCAAACATGGTCACAGAAGACACACTATTTTGGATTATTTGCTTTCTTCCTACTTGTTTGGGAAATGGGAAATTGCTCTGTTTTGTGACTATGCATTCATGCCAGGTATACAGAGGAACCTCGGCTTAGGTCCATAGTTGAAGACTACAGTGAAAGTGGAATCAGACGGCACTCTGTTCTCACAACCTTTTTAAAAAGTCCTCCCCCCCCCCACCGTGTGTGTGTCCGAGTGTGCGTACTTCATGTGCACATGTGCGTGAGGCCAAATGTCAGTGCTGTGTGTCACTCCTCTGGTGCTCTCCACCTTACTTTTGAGACAAGGTCTCTCACCAGCCGAGAGCTTGACAAGTAGGCTAGACTGGCTGGCCAGTGAGCCCCGGGACCTGTCTGCCTCTCTGGCACTAGGATTCTAAGTGTGTTCCATTACACTTGGCTTTTTTTTCCAACACAATTTTTTTTTTTTTGATTTTTCGAGACAGGGTTTCTCCGTAGCTTTTGGTTCCTGTCCTGGAACTAGCTCTTGTAGACCAGGCTGGCCTCGAACTCACAGAGATCCGCCTGCCTCTGCCTCCCGAGTGCTGGGATTAAAGGCGTGCGCCACCACCGCCCGGCCAACACAATATTTTTATTGATTATTTGGGAATTTCACATCATGCACCCCGATTATATTCCCTTCCTCCCCCTTAGTCTACCCCCATCGTTCCCACTAAAAAGAAGAAGAAAAACACAAACAAAACCCAATTCGTGTTGATATTTGGCCTTTTTGTTTGTTTTACTTATTTATTTTATGTATATGAGTGCTCTATCTGGATGTATGATTTTATGCCAGAAGAGGGCATCAGATCCCACTCTAGCTGGGAATTGAACTCATGACCTCTGGAAGAGCAGTCAGTGCTCATAACCACTGACCTATCTCTCCAGCAGAGACATTTGTTTTTTTAAAATGTGGCTTCTGGACACTGCCTTGGAGTCCCTATACTTACATAGAAAGCACTTTACCAATTGAACTGCCTCTCCAGCCTCTAACAATGTTTCTAATGTTTCATGGCCCAAGTTGCTGGGTTCTTCGGAGGGCTTTTTCTTCTAAAAAAGGCAAGAAAGCAGGGGCTGGGTATGGAAGGAGGGAAGCCCTCAATGGATTTGTTTGGGCCACTTTGTAAGATTTGGAATTGTCTACCACTTTTGGAGATTGTCTGGCAGAATCCACAATGAAGACCGTGAAAGACAGAGAACTCCCCTGATCTCTTCCTGACTCTGGCTAACATCTTTTGGCGAGAAAGCCAATGATTTTGGTTGTTTGGGCCTGGAGAGTTGGCTCTGCAATTAAGAACACTTGGTGCTCTTCCGGAGCACCCAGGTTTGGCTCCTAACACTCACATGATGACTCACAACCACCCATAACTCCAGTTTCAGAGAACCCAACACCCTTTTCTGACCTCTGAGAGCACTGGGCCGGTCTATGGTGTACACACATACATGCAGCCACTTATAGACATAAAATAATAATAAGAAAAGATTTTTTAAAAGGTGCTTACAAATGCGCGCACGCTGCACGCACACACATACATACACACACACACACACACGACTCTGAGGTCGGGTTCGCCCTTCAGAACACCTCTGTGTGCAAATCTCTGCTGTGAGGCTCTGAATTCATGGGTTTGGGTCTCCATGTGCTCCCTGGGCAATGGCAGTTAGGACATAGAGCATTTTCCCGAGACCCCACTAGGGGGCAGGCATGCTGTCAGGACTGCCAGAGAATCACCGCTTTCTTAGGAGTAGACTAAAATATGTTAGTGTATAATTTATGTGCCTGTAGGCACTGTAAGGTAATATAATTGGCTTGTCAGAGCAGCAGTGTTGTTTGCTTTGAAATATGCCCATCAACAACCTCTCTTAAAACTGTTGGGAATGTGCTGTGACTTTTGATGCACTGATTTAGAGAAACCCCTCAGGCTTACCTGGGCCTCATTCATTAACTTTTTTCACATTGTGTTCAGAAGCATAGAACAAATTCATCAAAACAGTGGCGTGGTTTTTGTTTCCGAGCCCTGACAGGCACTCCTGCTACTGCATCCGATGACTTCCCTTAATAAATAGAAGATTATTTTTAGGATGTGACGTGTAACCAATATCTGTTCTAAGGAGGGTAGTGGAGAGATGTTCTCTCCGTAGCTGGCTTGGGGAAGTTTAACAAAGCATGTGTGTGTTAGCTTATGCACTGCGAGGGGGAAAGTGCCATTTCTTGAGGATCCATATGGGATGCCTTCTGGAGAAGAAAAATCCCCTTCTGTTATCTGTCAATACATACATCTAAGTGAGCAACTCCTAAGCCATATGCGGAGACCCAGAGAGAGTGTCATCTTGTTGATTTCCCCCCTCTTCTTTCTTTTCTTTTAAGGGTGAGTACCATGGACACATCCCACAGGGAACCTTGCAAGTAGAGCTGCATTTTCACAAGGCTGCTACCGTGGGTGTACTTTAATGGAAGATAGACAAGAAGGACCCGGAGCCTCTGTGTGCAAACCTTCCATCTCTGGGTCATCTGTGTTTATACCACACTAACTAGCAAACACTGGAAATGGGGCTTTTAAGTTTTTAAGGTCTCCAGTTGGGTTAGATGATACATTTCTGCAATCCAAGGCCTATGGGGGTGGAGGAAGGAGGATTGCAAGTTCCAGGGAAGTCTGGGATACACTGAGACTCTGTCAAATTAGTCCTCCTCCCAAAAGAGAGTCTTTGTTTTAAGACCTAGCTAAAGCTAGACCCTGAGAAGTGAGCGT